ATGAAGTTCCCCCTAACAATGATATCTCAGGAGATTCATCGAAACCAAGTTTCTCTTCGTATCTGAAATAAGGTAAACACATCTTACACATGCATACATCTCATATATCTGATTTGCTGGTAGTCTCGAAAATCTACCTACAAACGAACAGTAAATAATGTCGTCGATTGTCATAACAAATGTAACTTTGCTTTATCGACAATCCCACCACAGAATGTGATATGGGGAAATGCCTGGCCTTCCTTGGAATATACATCTGCCCCGTGACCCAAGGACACTCGTGGCAATGTGGCGGAGTGGTTAACATTTCAAGATTATACGCTGCACTGCCATGCTTTGAGTTCATTGGGGGTGCTGATAAGACCAAAGCCAGGTCGAAACTGCAGTCCACCTCTGCCTGGATGAGAATACCTTTTGTGAAATCAGGGCTGTGTGGAATTCAATGAAAACGTCATGCCTACGCACTTTATTGTGGGATACTTCAACTAACAGTCCCCTCATCAGCATAAACGGAATAGGGTAAACACATCACAAGATACAAGTTTGCCACACCGGCAATCCAACTATAAATGTGATATGAGAGAGAAACATACTACTCGAGTTCGATTGTCTTTAGGGAAGCTGATGATACCAAGGAGAGGTCAAAACTGCCGTTCACTCTTTCCTAGATGATAATATTTTGGAGAGGCAGGCCTACGAGTAATTCAATAGAACCATAAGGCCTGCTCATTTCATTGTGGGAGAATTCAACTATCAGTCCTCAAATCACCTTAAACAACCTAGGGTGACTGGAATTCTTGTTAAAGACTTACTGATAGTGCGAATATAAAATTAATTAAGTCAGTGACATATCGAATTTGTAGACTTGAGCACAAAGGTAAGGGAAATGGTAAGGGTTTGTAGCAGCAAATAACGAATGGAACTGTCCAAGCCTACCTTGAAAAGCACAACCGCCGAATTTCTGGTCAATAACCAAACGCAGATATTTAGGAATCTCGACCAACTGGTCACCGAGTGACCGGCTTCTCCTGGATTCCGGAGCAGGCATGACGACTTGATCACACATCGCCTCAGTCTCCAGTGATTTGGTAGGGCCCCTTCGTAGACGCAGGCTATCTGGCCTCTCAGAGCTAGGTTGGATCTGTCGACGAGCTCCTTCGTCGACGTCCACACGGCCTCCTCCGCTTGGCCTGCGTCTGTCCGACCCAGTAACACCAGCTTTGCTTGTCACGGTCGTTTGGTCCGATGCCATAGCGACCGGCTTAGATGCTAGTTGGCCTCGTATGACAAGTCTGCCTCCTCCGAAAGGCTCGCCGAGGGAATGACTACGCAAACTGGCGAGCTGCGGACGTCCGGCTGCCCGAGTGACATTCGTGGCGTAGCTACCGAAACGAGAAGATGCTGCCTGCTCGGCAGAAGCAGAGGCGAGGTAACCTTCAGTGGCAGTCGGCTGATGAGCCGCCGCCTCATAAGCAAATGCGGAGACAGGTCCGCTGGAGGACTGTCTTGTCACATATTGCAGCGGATTGCAGAGACTGGACAAAAGGGTTGCAAGAGGGGATAAGGCAGAAAAGTGTTGCTATAATAATCGAGCAAACGGCAACGGGTCAATTAAAAAAAGTATTAAAATGTTGTTCAGCCTGCGCTGGATACCAGTCAGTTGTGTGGATTTGAGTAGTGAAATAGGCTCTTCTTTAGAACTAGGCTGTACCCTGACAAATGGTATAATGATTCTAGATTAAATTACCTAAAAGTAAAATAAAAACAAATCACCCTAAATGGCTTGAGGTGATTTATGGACTAATAGTTGAATTTTCTCAGGCGAGATCGTAAGAGCAGTTCAGGATGAATGAAAATGTGGCTATAGAAAAACTAAGCCATCAATCCTCAGTTTAAACTTAAATGTGAAGATCAAGATGGTGAGACCTTTGATATAGTAGCGGTCTCCTTTCGTCGTATAGAAGTCGTCAGACCTCGTTTTCGCATTTTGGTAGTACTGTCAGAGAGTCCTGGGTGAACGGACCGCGTCCGAAGTCCTCTGTCAAAGTATCCATAATAAGCGTAGATACGAAAACCAAGATGTTGTAGCCTCTATTTGCTTTATAGTCTCCTTTCGATGTTTAGTAGTTGTTTGACCTTGTTTTCGCAACTTGGTCATATTGGCAGGAATGCCTATAGGAACGCAACTAAGAAGACAATTATTGGTGCTGAGAATAGCAAGACTCACTGACGATGCCGACTACGATGCCGGCAAAACGTCTGGGAATGTACCAAACCACGATCAGACTCTGGAAATTATCATGCATACTATAGACTCCGGACAATGTGCTTTCCTCTAGGTCTTCCTGCTACTATGGCCAAGTTGCGAAAACAAGGTCAAACAACTACTACCCATGATTAGCTCCAACGTCGGAATGTAGCAAGTCCATGATTCTATGTCGGAAATTATCACGTATATTATGACAGAAGACTCCAGACAAGTTGTATTCAACTGGGTAGCTCTGACAATACTGTCTCGTAAATTGCGTCAACCTGAATATCGTATTAGAGCGAATCAACTATAGAACACCGGGAGTCAGCCGTCATCTTCTGGTGAGAGCGACCTACGAATCTCTTCGTCATGCGCTTTAATATGAAATGAAAGTTTCCATAACAGAGTAAAATTGAGATCGAATGTACAATCTCACACATGGCCTCTTGCACGCAGACCAAGCGTCAATGCAACATCCGCAGTCTCAACGCCCAGTCTTGCCCTATGAACTTTGTCTACAGACTACCTACTATGCTATGTCCTAATTACTTGGCGCCACTATTGTTGGCTTTGCCCTCATACGCACAGAAGAGGGCACATATATGCACATACAAGGACACAAATGCACATGGCAAGGACTGATTAAATCACTCTATACCTCCAAAAATGTACAGTTTATGAGTATATACTCAACATTTAGGAAGAGCTAATGATTTTTTTTAACTCGTTAGCATATAGAAGTTGTATGAAGGATTATCAGCTCTAATGATGCCTGTCATATGATATATTAAGGCTTAGCGTCTCGCATATGCGTCATTACAAAGAAAATTGGATCTCAGGGGACTTGAGTAATCACGATAGCTCAACGACGTAACCAAAGCAGAATCCAGTGCCATAGTTATTGCGCTCGCCTCAACAGGACCCTTTGTGATGGATCAGCAAAACTGAGATTACATAAACGCGTTGTGCTGCCAT